AAGGTAGCAAAACAAGTCAGGGGCCTTTAACAGTGTCTTTCTTTTATTTTATCCATACTACTCAGGGCAGGCAGCACTCACACCCTTAATCCTAGTGCCTTTGAGCCTAGCATTGCACCATGAATCGATCCCAGCATCACACACTGTAGATCCAGCCACCTCTGAAAGAGCCCCACCTAGGAATGCATGAAGATTTGAGGGAACATCCAGACACGGGCCATAACAATTTTGTTTTTGCTTGGTTTTCTATCAGACTTCAGAAAAATTCCACCTTCAATGTAACAAAAGAGTTCAACAGAGTTGCTCTACAAATACAATTTGCAAGCGTCCTGTGACAAACGAAGATGTTCTATTTCATTCCACACATTCCCTGAGTCCCTGTGCAGATAATGCTATTTGTCACACCCATGCTGCCAGCTTCCCACGTGACCCCAGCAAAGGCGGGGAAGGAAGACCAGACTGGGGAAAGCAGCCTCCACAGCAATGGGATGTCTCCCCTGTGCTCCAGATACACATTTCAGATCAAGAAACAGCAAAGAAGCCAGGCGTGGTGATGTGCACCCACAGCTCCAGCTGCTCGGCAGGGCTGACATGGGAGAATCGTTTAAACTCAAGAGTTGAAGACCAGCCTGGGCCACACAGCAAAATCCTCATTGGAAAGAAGGGAGGAACGGGAAGGGGAGGGGAGAAAAGGGGAGGGGAGGGAAGAGGGCAGGACAGGACTGAAATGAATCAAATCAGATCAAAGCAAAACAGTGCTGCAACTAATTTCAACTGGGGCAAGACCCAGATACTGTATTGGTGAATTCAGATCAAGAATTCTACCCTATGAGAGCAATTTGGAGTCTGTCAAGAGACTGTTCTGCTCCAGTATAGTTTGAGTCTCTGCAGCCTACCAGTTTGGAGTCCAACATCTTCGTCTCTCTCTGTCCATGACGCCCTGTACAGTTATCTGTTCTCTGCAATTGTAGGTCTGTACCAACACCAGCTACGCAGTGTGCATTTCTGGACTAATGCATTATAGCCACTCATTAGCTTTATTTAAAAATACATCTATTTCCTGAAGACACCTGGGTACATCCACAGAAAGTGACTAATTGCCAGAACTGGATGAAACCAAGCACCCAGGATCATCGGAGACGGTTTTGTGTGCAGACAAAGCACAGCTGGTGCCCTCTCAGAAGGTGAATTGAGACTAATTGGATAATCCAGAAACCAATTAGACTGAAGTCGGCAGAGGAAGCTCTGTTCAGCTAAAAGAGATGTTTGTTCTCTCCAACGGAGGAAGTAAGGGCTTTGTGTGCATAAGTGCAATGTAAGGAGCTGGAATCATACTGTATAAATGTTGAGATTTATTTTTCTTGCTGTGGTATTAGATATTAGAGTGAAGATACTGAACCTAGAATTAGATGGAGACCAGACTTTTCAGGAACAAGAGTCATGTGTGTGGGTCAGGCTTCTCATAGTGAATACCACAGAATAATTTTTATGTCAGGTGCGATTCCACATTCCACTGAAAGTCTTGATGACTCTGCTGTTAAAAAGGCTCTCACAAGGGAAGATATCTCTTGCATAGTTACCGCACTGGGAAGCCAAAAGCTGTGGCTATGTCTTCTAAGGATGTGATTGTATTAACGTGCAGCTGCTGCTAACTGCCTCGATGTATATGATGACTGATCAAATTAGGGACACCAGCTGGCACCTGGGGTGGATGAAATTAACAGGCCCTCGGGATGGAGGGGGTGAATTTGAACTTTGGCCTCATTTCTAGAGTCCTATAACCAATCGGCCTCCACAGCTCTGGGCCAAGATGTGGTAAGGTTTGCATTTTATAGCATCTAATGTTCAGTGCAGTAACTAGCAAAGAGACTACTGGTCAACCACAGGGTTCTCGTGTCGTTGTATTTCCAAGTTGTGTTCCAGTGCCTGTACTGGTTGGTGCTCAGTACATGGGCAAATGTTACATATGACCAGTAGTGACATAAAAAGAGTGACATTACACAAGCTTTTGCCTTGTTTATTCCTAGTCTCTGGGGACATGAATGGGCATCTTGGCATGTCACCTGTTGGAAGGGAGTTGGCAGGAACAGCATGAGGAAGGGAAGGAGCTCTGCCTTCAACTTCCCTGGACCCCAAAGTAGGATGTCTACCCACTGCAGGAAGCTCAGGATTGGAGCAATCCTGGCCCAGCACATAGAGGAGGAGCCTATTAGATCTCCCCTCCAAGTCAATCGGCTCTTCTAGAGAAAACTAGGAGGGCTCCACTGGAGCTGCCTGAGGGCTCCTCTCAGCCTTGCACTCACTGCCTTCTCCCTTCTGTGACATCTGGGTTGCAGCTGCCATTTGTCTTCCTTGCCCACCAGTCTCCTGGCACTGTGGGGGACCAGCTGCTCCACGCTGCTTATCACCCCCCCAGTGCCCCCAAGGGATTACAAAGGAATCTCCCAGGAGGCATAAAACGAGGACCCCCAGCTTCTGCCGCCAGAGGATACTGTGAGTTCTACTGTCCTCTAATAGACGGCTTTTTCAAGCAGCAGAAACTTGGGCTGGGGAGATAAACAGGCAGCAGTAGCCCAATTGCTGGTTGGTTAGTGACTTATTCCCACTACCCTGACCCTGAAAATTCCCCAAGCACCAGGACCCAGGGGGCACAGCCCGAGGCCATCCTGGGTCAGCTCCAAGGCCTTGGTCAAACTTCAGGGCTCAGGGTCCTCCTGGAGTGTCCTCCACCAGGTCCACTGGAACTGTCCTCAGTGCGTCACCCTTGGTGGCTATGCCCTCCCTCAAGGGAGGGTGCTGGCCTTGGAGATCCCTGGTGTCTCCCAACAGCTGTCCAGTGCTGCCACTGTTTTTCATTTGTTGACCGAATCTCTGCCCTACTTCCAGAAGTGGTTCCCAAATGCGTACTTTGGGGGAGTGGCTTTTTTAAAATGGTAAAATATACATGACCAAAAAAATCACTTTAACCATTTTTAAGTGTAATTCAGTGACATTAAGTACATCCAGCAGGGAAGGAGCACACCAGGGTTATTTACAAAGCAGAGCTTCTCCTTTAAAAAGCATAGGGATTTTATTCAAAGAGTCATTACATATTCATATGGGAAAGCATATGTACACGTAGGGACACTTCTGAGCATGCTCCATTTGAGATGCGCCCTTCTGAGCATGCTCCATGTAAGATGCACACTTCTGAGCATGCTCCACTTAAGATATACACTTCCGAGCATGCTCAGTTTAAGGTCCTAGAACCCATGGAAACAAGGAAAGATGGCTGTCATGAACACATCTGGGCATGCTCAGTTTGGTACTAGATTGGGCAAAGATTACTTTAGGTCACCTAAAAGAGTCAGAGTAGCTCAGGTGATCTTGGCTAATTCTTTCTAAGTTTCTGGAAAAAAATCTTAGCCAAAATAAAAAAGCGGACTACTTTGAGGGTACATTAACACTTAAAAGGACAGCAGCTTTCTCACCTGTATGTATAGAAGTTTGCCCCTCATAGCGACTGCCTTGCTTAGCAGCTACCTGTCCCAAGCTGAAACTCTGCACTCATGAGCATGAGTTCCCACCTCCCTCTCCCACCAGGTCCTGGTAACCAGCATCTATTTTCAGTCTCTAAAATTTAACTACCCTAAGTTACAGATGAGCAGGATTATACTTTGGGTCTCACTTGTTTTAGTTTGCAGTGTTTCCAAAATTCATCCACGTTGCAGTGTGTCACGATTTCATCGCTGTCTAAGGTTGAACGCTATTCCGTGGTACATCTGTACCGCGTTTTGTTGATGCACCCATCTGTCCTTAGACGTGTCACCAAGTTGCTTCTGTCTGATGTTGTAAGAAATGCTGACGAATGAAGCCGCGCACATTGTTGAGCTTATTAGTTTCAGTCCTTGAGCTACGTTCCTTTGTGAACCTATTTGCCGGATCGTTCATTAATTCCATGTTTAGTTTTTGAAGAATGGCCAAGCTGTTTCCCGTAGCAGCTGCACCATTGTGTATTACCACCAGCAATGAACAAGGGTTGCAGTTTCTCCTCACCAACACTACTTAGCTCCTATAAATAAAACAAAAAAAAGCCATTCTAATGGGCATGAGTTTGATTTGCATCTCCCTAACGTTTAATGATGCTAAGAGTCCTTTCCTGTGCTTCATGGGCATTTGCGTATCTGCGGTGGAGAACGCCTGTTCCTTTCTTCGTTTTCACCCTGGGCTGTCTGTACCTTGGTGATGAGTTGTCCGCTGTGTTTTTAGTCTAGACTGAGACAACCTCACCGGGAGACACCGCTGTCACTGAACGTGACTGAGCTCCTAAAAGGCCACACACCGAAGTGTGTGCCCCTTGATGCCGCCGCCACACAGTTCCCGGAACGGAACTGAGGGTCTGAGAGAGCATCCAGCTCAGTGTCCCACGGCAGCAACATTAACAGAAACGGCGCTGGAGGGCAGGAGCGGCCTGGCGGGCCACGGGTTCGGGCATCACATGCAGCAGCCGTTTTCAAGGCAGCCACCACTGCACTCCTGGGTGCGCACCCCCAAGACAGGCCTGGCCCTGGGCCTGGGGGTCCACAGCCGCAGCCGGGTACACATTACCATCACGGGGGCAAGGGCGCCACTTCTCACCCCCTTGCAGCAAGACCTGCTGGGAAAGAGGAAGGGGTGGGGCGTGGCATCAGCATTTTTAAAAAGTGTCCAAAATCAGACAGTGTGATCCAATTTTTGGTTTTGGTTTTTTGAGATAGGGTCTCCCTTCGGAGTCCAGGGTGGCCTTAAACTCACCACATAGCCCAGGCTGACCTCCCACTTTCAAGGATCCTCCTGCCTCAGCCTCCGGAGTGCATGCATCACCACAACTGGCAAACACGCCTTGCCTGACTCAGCTGGAAAGATACTCCTCGGATTTTGTTCCGCGCTTCCGCTTTGGTGCAAAGGTGGGCGGGGCACCGCGTGCGACCCTGGCCCGCAGCGTCGTCCTCCTCGGGTCCTGTCCCGCGCCCGGCCGCGAGCCCCGCTCTAAAGTAAACACCGCGGGTGGCGGGACCGGTGCAGCCCGACCCGACCGCTCACCTGCGCTGGGCCATGGCCGAGGGGCCCGCGGACCCCAGGGGCCTGCACGGCCTCATCCTGCGGTGGTGAGCGCAGGGCCCTGGGGCGGAGGAGGGGAGGGGCCGGGGATGAGGAGCAACGCCTCCCCTCCCGGAGCTGCTGCCCAGGACCTGGGACCAAAGCCGAGGGCAGGGGGCGGGGCCCCAGAGGAAGTCCCAAAGGGCGGCGCCTTGGTACTCAGCCACATCCCCAGCCCATTCATTTGGTGTGTGCGATCCTCCTGCCTCAGCCTCCCAAAGCGTCTTTTAAAGTTGGCCGCCAGAGCCCAGACAGAGCGCGGGTGTGGAAACCACACACACACACACACACACACACACACACACACACACACACACTCTCACACACACACACACACACTCACACTTCTGTAAGAGCGTCTGGGTCGGGAGCCAGCGCGGGCACCGGGTTTTCGGTCCTGGAACTCCCCGCCCATAGGGGGCGCGTTTCTTGGCCCAGGGGAGCTCGGAGTTCGCTGGCGAGGGCCTGCAGATGTTTTCGCTTAGCGCGAGATCCGAAATGGGATGTTTTCTCCCTTAAAGCACAGCCACTTTCAGCTTTAACAGTGCGTTCCTCTTCACGACGTTCACTTCGTTTATTTAAATAGAGGCAGAAAAAGCAATCCAGGATGGAAAGACCCCTATCCCTGGGGCGGGAGGAGCTCCCGGGTGTGCAGCCGGCGTGGCGAGCAGGACAGGGACAGCGCCGGCCCGGGGTGCGGTCAGCGGAGGGCCCTCCGCCCCCATCAGGCCCGCTGCTCTTCCCGCAGGTCTCCCGGCGTGTTTCCCAGGAAGACTTTGTGAAAAGCGCACCAGTGCAAAGTAGAAAAACAAAGGGTGTGATTGTGCCTAGGACCTTCAAAGAGCTACAGGGTCACGGCTTTCCTCCAAAGGGAAATTTTTGTGTCTCAGTTTGCATGAGCAGAGATGAAAAAAAAAAATAAACTAAAACTCCCACGAAGAAATGGTGAAGCACCAGTTTGTACAAAGATGCGTCGCTGCTCTCAGGGCCCCACCGGAGTCTTTCTTAGAGGAAAGGACCTGGGGGCCGCCCTTCCTCGAGAGAGCCCCTCTGCAGCGCTGCCAGGCCTCCATTCAGTAAGTTAGGGCTTCCGGGGCTTGAATTACGCTGCAGAGATTTGAAAGAATGATGGGAGACTGGAACATAGCGGAAAATCCTCCTTCGGTGTTTGTGAATGGACAAGGTGGTGCCCTCCATCCCCGTAGGTAAACTGAGGCCAGTAGGAGGGTGAGGACCACTTTAGCTACCAGCCCAACAAACTCAAGACCTGTGCCCCCACTCCGGCCCTTCTGGCCTCCGAGCAACAAGCCCAGCCCTGACAGTCCCCGAAGGCAGTGCAGGTGTCTCAGTGGAGGGGCCTCAGCTTGTGGAGGAGGCTGCCCGGGCACAGGGTTTGCATAGGTGGGCAGACACTGGCATGGAAACCCAGCCCTGAGGCTTGTGATTCCAGGGACCTTGGCATCCGGGGATACTGCAAGATCTGGGGAGACCAGGCCATGGGGGGGTGACCCCAGCAGAGGGATGCGGAGCCCCCAGGGCCTGTGGGGAAACCAGGGGAGAGCCAGGCTCCCCAGGGGAGGCCCAGGGACCTTTAAGTGGCGACTCATTGCTGTGTCGTCCATTCGTTAAGTCCCCGCTGACTCAGACATCAGAGCCACCGTCAGTGCCTGTGTAGTAGAGGTGACGAAGCTCCTGTCCCTGGGAAAAGAAGGACACAGGAGGATGAGGGCAGACCTCGGGCAGCCCTGAGAAGTGGAAAAGTGGGTGCAGATCCCACAGGTGTGACGGGGGGCCCAGGCAGAACCCAAAGATCCCCTGGTCCCTGAGCACGCTGAGCCCTGGCTGGAGACTAAAGAGCCCTGTCCTGCTTGTACGTGGGACCTTTCACCTTTGCGAAGCCTGCTGAACTATAACAGAATGAAAGTTTATTTCAAGAGGTGCAGAATCCAAGCCGAAGCAGAAGGAACTCCAGTTCCCAGCAGAGAGGGGTTCCCATATTGGTCTCTATAGGGAAGAGCAGACTCAGAGGATTGGAAACAGCTGACCCAAGGGGCTATGTGCTCTGAAGTTGGCGATCATTGTCCAACATCATGGCCTTCTCAGAGGGGGCCTTCCCAGCCATCCTCCTTGCTTCCTTGGAGACCCAGGAAATAATGGGGTTAGGCAGCCAATAAGGACCTTAGTGACCTGACCCAGGACAGACCTAAAGACCTCGAGTCACCCTGAGTGGTGGAGGCACCCTGCAGCACCCTTCCCTCATGGCCCCTGCAGTAGTTCTGCCTGGGCCCTCCTGACAGCATCTCTTGGAGCCCAGTGGACTGGAGGTCAGGGTCGCCTCCAGCAGGTGTCCGTGCTGCTCCCGTCCACCCCCTCTGACTCCCATTCTGAATTTGTGGGAGACAGAAACATGACAACAATAAGAGCCTCTGCGTGCCTGCCTGTGTGCCGCAGATGTCACAGTCAGAACTGAAACCTGCGTCTCAGCGTTGCAGAAGACAGGGTCCCAGTCCTCACTGTGGTTTGTCCGGTGCATGGGGACTGACACTGGACCGGAAGTCCAGCCTCTGAGCCTTTCGGGTGTCTTGGTGAGGTGTGTTCCTGCTGCCCACAGCCAGGCTTTGGGGCTTGGGCACCTTTCGGAAGTGACTGAACGTGCGTGGTCACAAACGGGTGACTCTCTTGGAGCGGCCAGAACCAAAGTTGCAATGTGGGGCTGAACCAGGGCGGCCCTTTCCTTATGTGGGTGCCTAGAAAGGATGCTGGGTTATCAGGTTAATAAAATCCCTTAGTTATTGCGGACTGGTCAGGTCCGAAATCTCCCAAAGGAGTATATGGCGAAGGCTAAATAAAAAGAGGCGAATGCAATGATTTCAGAGCTCCAGGAGGATCAAAGCCCTCTCACAGAATTCAAGATTCTCTCAGGGCTCACACCAGGACCTTCTCTGGGTGGCCTTTATTTATTTGGTTATCAGAAGAAGGGAAGGGAGTACTCAAAAAGGGCAGAACCACTCAAGGACTTCCTCAAGTAAGGTATTAAGTTAATCCACCCAGGAGTGAGATGCCTGAGGCTACAGTCTTTATCCAGTTGAGATCGGATCCAGGTGTTCTTGGCTGTGATCTTGTCTTATCCTTTGAGGCTTTCCAGCTTCATCTGCCATTACAGGTTTTAGGAGGGATCAGTGACTCACAGAGGTTCACTTACTATGAGTCTGTTGCCCACTCCCACACAAGCAGCCTAGGCTTTAGACAAATTCACAAGTAAACATAAAAAACCAGTTGATTAATTTAAGTCCTGCTTGGGGCTGCTTCGTAGTGGTCTCCATCACTGGGTCACAGCCCTTTTATGATGGTAACTGATGTTATTTTGTGGTGCTAGAGACCAAACCAAGAGCCTCCTGCGAGCATGCGAGGCAGACCTTGCCTGCTGAGCCCCTGTTGTTATTCGGCACTGGCTGAGTCTCCCTTATTCAAAATACCTGGGACCAGAATTGTTTTCATTTTGAATTTTTTTTTCAGATTTTGGAAATTCTTGCACACATTTAACAAGATGTCTTGGGATGAATCCCAAGTCTAAACACAAATTCATCTGTGCTACATACACCCTCATATGTATGTCCTGAAGGTAATTTTTTAGACAGCATTTGTGTGGTTTCATGCACAAAACAAGGTTTTACAGCATGGAATTTTTCTTTTGTGGCGCCATTCAGCACTCAAAGAGCTTTGGGTTTGGAGGAGGTAGAGATTTTGGATTTTCAGGTTTGGAAAGCCCCAGTTGTGGTACTGCTTGTCACCCCAGAAAACTGTGAGCCTAGTCATGTCGTTTTGAAACAGGAGGACAGTCACAGAGGCCAGGAGCGTCCGTGTCGAGGAAGAACAACTATCAGAAATAGAGATGAGAATTCACTTTAGGGAGTTGGTGTTTTGTGCTGTACTTTGGGGAGTCTGTTCCCTACTCATCTGCAGTAGCTCTTTATAAACAGAAGTGAGTTTGAATCTGATGCATGTCCCTCTTTGCCACAGTTCTCCACAGCTGGCCAGTGTTTTTCTGTGATTCAGGGTTTTTCATGTACCAACAAGTGGTGTCTTAGGAGCAGGCACCATGGCATGCCCCTGTGGTCCCAACTACTCAGGAAGCTGAGGCAGGAAAACGGCTTGAGCCCAGAAGTTTGAGGACAGGCTGGTAACACAGTGAGACCCTGTCCCTTAAGAAAAAAGAGAAAGAAAAGAAAAGAAAAAAAATATTAATGTCAGCTACATGGATGGATTTGCCACTGCCCCTCCCCACCGACAGACTTCACTCTGTGTTCAGCCTCCAGGCCAAATAAAGGCTGCTGTTTCTAAACTACTGTGTGGTACCTGAAAGATCAGGATCCCAGGATGGTGACACTGGACCCTCAGAAAAGCCACCTGCTTGGAATCTGTACTGGGCTGAATGACATCACCCCCAAAACTCATGTCCACGTGGAACCTCAAAGCATGGCCTAACTTCGAAAAACGTTCTTCACAGATGGAAGTAGTTAAGGTCACACTGGTTAAGGGTGAGCCCTACACCTGACCACAGGTACCTGGATAAGGAAATCCACACAGACAGACACACAGGGAGACAGGCACAGGAGGATGCAGGAAGACTGGGGTGACACACCCGCAAGCCCAGGACTCCAGCTGTCACTTGCAGCTTCTGGATCCAGAGCAGCACAAGCGTGACGATGGTCTTTAGCTCCTCAGGAAACTGCATTTGGGCCTCCACCAGGAAGCGAGCCCTGTGTCATTAGTGCCTGTAACTCTCTGGCTTTAAAGATCCCTCTGTGTTTAAAAAATGTGCAGACTGGCTTTGCCTATCGTAATCCCCTGGAGTGCACAGGGAGTATGCTCCGGGACCCTCTGGGACCCAAAATCCACAGAGGGTCGCAATCCTTACATAAAATGATGTGCTGTTTGCATAAAAGCTGAGGAGACTTTTCCCTGTGTCAGGGTGACACGATGCCTCACACAACGCAGGTGCTGTGTAAATAGCTGCTGCTCTCCATTGCTTAGGGAATGGCGACAAGGGAAAAGGTCTATACAGGTTTGGTACACGTGGTTTGTTTTCTAAATATTTTCCACCCGAAAGCCTCATGTCCCTAAATCGATAGCTAAAAGCCCATAATCAGTATTCTTCACACTGCCCCAAGGACGGTGAGCTTCTCAGGGGTCTTTACTCAGTAGTGTAGATGTATTTTACTCCGTTGTATCCCACACATGTCTGGTCATTAGTTCTATCAAAACATCCTGCTCCAGAAAAATATGCCAATCTCCTCTTCTTCTCCTCTGCCCCAGGTTGGTGGACAATTTCTGCATCTGTGAAGGGTACAGCTTGCCTCGCTGTCTCATGTATGAGATTTATGCAGAGACCTGTGGGCAGCATGCTCAGAACCAAGTCAACCCAGCAACGTTTGGGAAGGTAAACTACGGAGCCTCAGCAATGCTGCTTCTTACAGTCCTGCGTCACCTGGTGGTGGAGGCGCATTCAGAGAGGTGCACTGTTAGGCTGTTTCATCATTGTGCAATCATCGCAGAGTGTACCTACTCCAAGTAGGGCAGCTACAGTGTCACTGGGTGCTATAAACGTATGGACCACCATTGTGTCGTCCACTCAAATGTCATCACGTGGGCCGTGACTGTAACTGGGGGCATTCCGAAATGCATTTGGGTCTAACGGGCTCTCAGTGGGCAAGCTGGGCTTCATTCTGGGGAGTCCACCAGATGGTCAACATCTTTCCTCTGTGTCTCCATCTTCCCACACTTCGTAGCGAGGGACGGGGAAGGATGAGGAGTGGATGGCTCCCGTAGGGTTGTTACTATGGCAACTCCAAATGCGTCTCAGAGAGCCAGGTTTGCTGGGCTGTTTCTCCTGTCTAGAAATCCCAACGCTCTGCACCACACGAGCTCCCAGCCACTCTGGTAGTCACAGTTTGACTGCATCTCAAGAACTCATAGACTCTTAAAGATTTCCTTTGGAGCCTGTGACCCGCTGCAGGTAGTCTATTCAAGAGCATGGGATATGCAGCAAAACAGCACAGCAGAGAGTCTGAGCCCTTCTGCATGCACAGATGAGGCTGAGGACACAACAGGGAGCAAGGTAGGTGAGAACCCCCGCCCTTAGTGACCTGAGATTCCCGTGTACACACACACACACACACACACACACACACACACACACACGGTGCAGGCAGGCAGTGTCAGTGTTGTTTCACAGTCAGGAAAAGAAACCTGGGGACTCGAGACTAGCATCACCGCTGTCACAGCGTGAGCATGGCAGACCTCGCCTCCTGGGCTCAGAGACGGTGGAGAGCACCACCTGCCCGGTGCGAGAGCCCTCGAGAGCATCATGGCTACAGACCTTTGCGAGGACAGAGGTGGGTGCAGGCACACAGAGCCGGGTGGCAGTGTGTTTCTGCAGCAGGAAGGCAGTTCTCCCTCAGGGCAAACTCAGCCCATGCGGGGATTTATGGCTGGGCTGGCAGGGCCTTGGTGCAGTTCCCAGTCTGTGCATCCTGCCTGCTTGGGGTGGCGTTGGCGGGGGCCTCAATGACTTGGGTGATAAGGGGCTCGCTCATTGGTTCCTGAAGCTGCCAGCTCTGTTTCCTGCCTTCCTTGCTCCCTTCCTTCCTTCCTTTCCCCGCGGCCCCCAGGAGGACAGAAGTGGACCCTTTGTGTCACACTTCCATTACCCGTGACTCAGGGCCTGGTTGTTAGAAGCAATTACCTAGATAAGGACAGGAAGGAACTGGAGAAACTCATTTTAGCAAAGTGGTGGCATCTGTCAGACCACTGCCCTAAATGAAGCATGTCACCTGTCCCTCCAGCCTATGTCCCTGCACCCCACTGTTGGGGTCCATCATCCTGGGCGTTGGTTTTCTCCTGCCAGAGGGAAGGGCTGAGGTGTAGCCCACTGGTAGATCTCCTGCTTAGCATACACTAAGTTCTGGGTTCAATCCCCAGCACTGGAAAATAAAAAGTCTTAGAGCATTTATGTGTGTTGGCAAAAAGCGCTTTCCTAGTTTTTGCTGTTTAACTTTACTGAAAGGAGTCTTGCATGGTCTACAGTCACTGGGAGCTTCTCTCCCTTAGTGTTGTATTAAGAGCCATCTGGTTTGCATGACTGTCGCATACTGGGTCACGGTTTATGCATGCGCTGTCCATGCATGTGGGTTTGGGCTATGTCCCAACATTGCTGCTGTGAGCGCTCATGCACCTGTGTCTTGTGTGTGTCCTGTGTGTGTGTGTGTGTGTGTGTGTGTGTGTCTGTTGTGAAGATCTCCTGGCTGTGAATATCCGAAAGTGAACCTGCAGACCAGAGCGCATGTGGTCAGCAACATCTGAACCAAACTGTCCCAAGGTGGTTGCTCCAGGTCACTTCCACCAGCAGTCCTGTGGACAGTGTTACCATCACAGCACTGAGAAGTGTGCATCTGGTCTTCCAGCCCAAGTCCAAATCCCTGAAACCCGCGTCCTTAGTGGGTGCTCTGTGCTGTGACAGTCAGACCACGTGGTGCAATCTTCCCATGTGCCCGAAGCTCAACTATTGGAAACAACTCTGGTCTCCTTGTCTTCCCCTCTCTATGTCAACATGGATGTGGCCTCCCTTCCTGCCCACTTCATGATTCTGTATGTTGAAGAGATCTGAAAAGTCTCTCCACGGTGCCATCCAGAGCCTTGGGGTCAGCAGGGAGCGGAGCACTTCGCTTTTCTCTGTTTTGGTGTTCCTCCTCCTCCTCCTGCTCCTGCTCCTCTCTGTGGCTGTATTGACTTTGATTCTTCTACTGGATAGTATTCTGTTGATTCCACTGTTAGCCTGTGGTCCACAAAACTAACTCAAGTGTTTTTTTCACATAAAGTAAAATTAAGCTGGGCCTCCCCGAAACTGCTCCCTAAACTGCGACATACTACGTGCAAAAGACAGGAACCTTCTCGTTACTGTCGGTCTGTTCTCGCTGCATGGCTCTGTCCTTGGTCGCTCGTTCTACCACTTGACCTGCAGCCCTGCTGTCATCGACTTCTGGGACTACCGGTCACCATGCAGCTCGCGTGTTTGTGAGTGGGTCTCTCGAGCTCTTCAGGGTGCTAGGTGACCTCCAGGAGGTTTTCCTGTGGCCGGGAGTCCCCGCCGTGTTACCCCTCGGCCCACATCTTGCCCAGTCATCACTCGAGTATGGGGAAACTTCATCTAAGGTCTGGCAGAGCTCTGGGCCTCTCAAGGCAGGGAGATGCCAGCTGGATGTGTTAGGGCTCTGCATGGCCCCTGCTCCCTTTTCTAAGATTTCAAAAACTCTTTTCTTCATTGTTTTAAGGTCTTCGGGTTGGGGGTGACAGTAGGGTATGAACGTGGCTTGTGCAGTCCCTGGGTTGAATCTCTGCCCCTCAAACACAATGAAAGAGGGTCTTACATAAGGTCATTGCCAAGTGCAAAGGGAAAAATATACAAGGAGACTGATGCAGAGCCTAGTACACCTGCATTTATTTTGCATTTTCTTTTTTTTTTTTAACTTTCAAGAACTGATGTATTTGGATTATTGTTAAATTTTTATTTCTGTGGGCACACATTTGCAGTGTGTGAGGATCACATTCACCATGGGGAGTCAGGGCATCACCCTTCACACCGCTTTCCTCTCTTCTGCCTCTCCCTCTGTGTCTCAGTCTGTTTCCCTTTTGCAGAAGATCCAGCTCCCGGCTTCCCGTCATACGTCTTTTACTTTGGTTTTTCAGTATTTATACTTCGGGTTTGTCCTACAAGAGAAATTGTGCTGTGCTTAAGGCTTTGCACTTTTCATTCTGTCCTTCTCTGCGGGTCCATCCCTGCTCCCGCGGTTCTAGAGCAAGCTGAGTGGGGGAGCCCCTGGGCCGGGCCAGCCCCGTGGAGCAGATACTGTGCCGGGAGCTGTGACTCAATGGGAGAGGAAGGGAGAAAGGATATGAACCCAAGCATGTTTACAAGAGAGACAGCAAAACCCCTGACCCCCGACTTCCTGCCTCCTCCCCGGGAACCGGCTGGTGCTTTCTGGCAGCTGTGGCAGTGATGGGTGACACCGTGACGCTCGGTCCTGGGGCAGGCAATGTCTCCCATGGGCCGGGACACTTCCGGAAGGCGGACTTCCTCTGTTGAAATAACATTTACTAATGTTTTTCTGACTAGGAAGGAATACATCCGCGTGATAGGAAACATGGAAATTAAAGAAAAGAACATTAAAAAGGAGAAAATGAATACTGGAGATAACTTCAAAGTGCAGAGTTACAGCGCATGCGTGTCGCTCCTGTGTACACTCGTGCATGAGCGTGAGCAGCAGATGCCAGGGGAGGGACCACAGACCTCACCATCATCTTCATTCCCATGTCCCTCCGGACGGCTGTGCCCTGCCCCACCTCCTTCCTGAGTGAGCACGAGAGCCCAGGGTGATACCAAGTCCCTCTGTCACACTCACAAGTCCCTCTGTCACACCAACCCAAGAGTGACTGCCTGGTGCTTAGGGTTCTGTCCCAGATAACAGCAAATCTGCACGTGTTGAAAGTGGAGCCACTCCTGTCTCCCTGGCTGGGCGTCTGGCTGAGGAGGGCCTGGTGCGGCTCCTTTGCTGTCCCTGCCCCCCACCCCCACCCACGCCATCTGACCTGCTAATGGGATGGGGAGGGGACAATGGCTGGAAAGTTGTCCTCTGCTGGTGTCCATGGCTGGGCCCTGTCCCCGGCGCCGCCTAGGGCGTGTTCCAGTGTGTGTTCCTGAGTGTAACTTGCCATCAGGCCATGCAATCCAGGGTCCCCTTCACCAGCTCTTTCTTGCACGTGCCCACCCAACTCCGGGCCACTGATGGGACCCAGCCAACCTCGGCCTGCAGCGACTGTGGGTTGAGCCCAGACAGCAGCTATCCCTAGACCCAGCCAGCCCTCCGTTTCCTTGCTGCCCACAGGAGTTCAGGCTGAGGCCAGACTCAAGCAAGAGGCCCCACAGAGAGCTCTGAAGGAACTGGAAGCGCCCAGCTTAGGTGTCAGGAGCTCACCCCTTCCTGCAGTGCTGCCCAGGGAGAGGCTGCACGCGCAGCAGGAAGTGCCTCGCTACTTCCTCTCTGACTCACCTGGCTGCACAGCCTTGAGTATGTAGGACCCAGTGAATGTTGGCTAAGGACTCAAGGACACCCTGTTTGTGGCCCCTTGCACCAGCCTATCATATAGATACTATGTGGGGGAACACACAGGCAGACGGGGGGGGGGTGAATGGACTGACAGATGGATGGATAGATGGGTATGGGAGAGGATGACTGACAGATGGAGGGACAGACAGATAAGGGAGATAGAAAGACCCCCTCTGGAGACTTTCTCCTTCCCAATTTGATTTTGTCTCCTCTGTAGGCCTTGGGTACTGGAAGAGCTCTTATCGTTTCTCTATCTGCTGGTTACACCAGTCATAAAGACATCCTTGGTTAACTCCTTCTTCAGTTGTTTTCATTTGATGATGCTGTTTCCTTATCAGGACTGAGCAGAGAGATAAATACCTAGGTAGATATAAGATGGATAACAGATGCAGATGGAAACATAAATACATATAGAGGTAGATTGCTATGGATAGATATAAAGATACATATACAGATAGTTATAGAGGTAACTTGATAAAGATAGATATGGAGATAGGAAGACGTATATAGAGATAGTTACAGAGACACATAGAGCTAAAGGTAGGCAGAGGTAGGTACAGGGATGAAAAGACAGACAATACAACTTTTAACAGCATAAGCTCAGACTCACTTTTTAGCTCACAACCCTGAGTGAGTTATTTAACTATATTGTCCCACAACTGTCATCTGTGAGGATATTAATAGCGGTAACGTTAATAATGCCTACTTCATGATGTTCTTAAAAGAAATGAATGAGAAAGTGCATATAAAGGGAGTAAAAAAACCATTCTGGCAGACAAGGAATATTAACTTTTATTGTTAGCATGCCTGTTTTTCTCTCAAAATATCATAAACATTTTCACATTAAATCACTCTCAGTTGCATGTTGTACAATGGCTGTAAAAGCTTTTTGGACTCTACCATCATTTACTTAACCATATTCCTTTCTGGGGATACAGGTTGGTTGTAATTTTTCTCTGTTCTGAGCAATACAAACCTCTATCAGTACTGGTTATTTCCCTAGAATAGATTCTCCATTATGGTTTATGTCCCCCTAAAGCCTCATGTGCTCATAGGTGGGGCTTGGGGAGTGATTGCATCATGGGAGTGTGATACTCATTGATGGATTCGTCCACTGGTGAGTTTATAGCTAAACGTGATGATGGGAGGTGAAGCCTGGTTGGAGGAGGTGGTCACTGGGGGCGTGGCCTGGGCAGGTCTACCTCCCTCTTCCTCCCTTGATCTCTCTGCTTCATGTCCACCCTGCCATGAGCAAGCCTCCCCTGCCATGCTTCCCTGCCTTGGAGCTAGCTGACTATGGACTGAAATCTTTACAAAGTGTGAGCTAAAATAAACCTTTCTTCCTTTAAATTGAGGGTATTGGGTATTGCATCTCAGCATCAAGAAAGTAACTAAGACACCTGCCATATTGCTCCCCATATCAAATTGTAAACCATTATAATCAGCTCACCACCCCGTGACAATTCATGATATTCTTACACAAACCCATGTATTCCTATTCAGGAGACGTTTATTCAGTGAAAGCAATATTCAGCCACTTCCGCTGCACTTGTCAGATTACTAGAGAAGTTAAGTACTGTACTTTTGCACAAGCATTGGTCATGGGAATCTCACATGTGTACACATTATCACCAGACGGTTCTCTGCTAGAGTACAGGGTGACCACTCCTTCCCCCAAATGCTTGGAACTAGAGGTGCTTCAGATTTTGCAAGGTTGTAATGAGATATCTTGTGGAGAAGGTGAGACCTAAATCTAAATTTGAAATTCAGTTCTGTTTCACACACTCCTTATGCACATAGCCTGAAGGTAATTTTACACACTAGTTTAACCTTGTGCTTGGAACACAATTTTACAGTGGGGAATTTTCTACTTATGGCATCTTATCAGTGCTTAAAATGTTTCAGATTTGGGACATTTTTGAATCTGACTTTTCAGATTAGATATGTTTGATTTGAATTTGTTTTTTTCCTAGTGATTGGTAGAAGCTCTCTCTGTCGTACAACTTATTTAACTTCATTGTATTTTTTGCAAGTAATTACCTCAGGGGTTTTTTTTCATTTTAACTGTAGCATACCTGCTCATGAATGAAATCACAGGATAATCTGAAGCTAGAGTTATTCAGTAATATATAATAATGTACAGATTATTATGTTGCCAGCAAACCCAAAAGTTCACTTCTGCATCTCTGAAATACGGCATCATTTCCCAGGGCGTCACATCTGAGCTCCTGCCATGCTTTCCAATAATTTCTTTAGGTACCTAGTATTTGCATCTTGATTTTATTTTACAATGAAACAGGAAGATTTTGAATGATTTTCTTAAGATGATTTGTTGGCGATAGAAGCGTCTGGCCTTTCATTCTACATTTACGCTTGGCTGACTTCGGCTGTGACTTTTGTCATTTATTTTTCTTCTGTACATCTTGCGCCCCCTCCCTGCCTGAAGGACCCTTGATTTGCACACGTGACCACAGTGCTGCCCTGTGGCAGTTGTGCCTTCCGCACCCAGGCTTGTGTCGTCTTCCGGCAGGAAGAGTCGGACAAAAGATTTCACCGAGTTTCCTCTGAATCCTGCTCTTTGGAGCCAATACAAACGGAAGAGGGGACACGAGGGGAAGCCAAGCAGAAATAAGCTGCCCGGCCGACAGGACAGGAGCAGAGGTGATTTCAGGACAGCTCCGCTCAGGAAGGCTTCCGGTCCGTCTGGCGGTTTCACCACCCCCCGGTGCTCTGGTTGACAGGCCTGCCCAGGATGCCACGCGCGCCATTGGCTTCCTCTGATAAGGAAACGGGAACAGACTCTCAGGGATCACAAGCAGAACATCAGTGCCCAGAGCTGGAGATAAGTGAATCAGAAGTAGCCAGGGTGCTTCAGCGTTTCCAAGCATTCGCTAGTGAAGTCTTGAAACAGAAAGTGAGGTAAAGAGACGAAGAACAAAAAGTCAAAATTACTCACACATCACAAAAAGAGGAAAGCAGCACACTTGTAACACCTCACAGGATAGACTGCGGGGCGGCTATTCACAACCCCCATTTCCAGGGAATTTCTGATAACCAGAAGAGATGGTGACGTAAGATGCTGCAGGGGGAGTAAAATGCAGAACAGCAGATATGCTAATGAGGGTTACTGGTGATCTACCACAGACCCCCGGAGTCGTGCGCTCATTGAGGCCTTGGAAAAAGACCAGGACGAATGGCGCGGAAGTACACGTGCTTCATCTTGGTGCCGGGGACAGAAGCCAGGGCCTCCTGCGTGCTGAGCATGCGCTCTGCCACCGAGCCGCACCCCAGCCCTGGCACCCGGCTTTTCTAATTTTTATTTTTATTGGCACACGTTCGCAGTACACGATGATGACTCTCCTCACCTGGAGTCGGGTGCCTGTGCACGGCCAGTCCTCGTCCTCCGCGCGCGCCCCGCCCTCACGGCCCCGCCTCCCTCTCTTGGGCCCCTTCCCTTTTGCAAAAGATCTAGCTCCCTGTTTCCTTTTGTCTATCCTTTATTTTGCTCTTTCATTTATTTATACTTTGGATTTCTCACATAAGAGAAGTCATGCAATAGTTAAGCTTGCATGTCTGATTTATTTCACTTAACATGGTGATCTCAGGGCTGGGGATTTAGCTCAGCGGCACAGCGCCTGCCTGGCAGGTTCGAGGTCATGAGTTCGCTTCCCGGTACCGGACAAAAAAAGAAAAAGTTATGGTCTCAAGATGCATCTAGTTGCCTACAAATGCCTCAGTCTTATCCTTCTTTCTGGCAGAGTAGTAGTCCAGTGCATATAAACGTGACATTTTCTTTATCCACTTATCTGCCGATGGACGTATATAATGGTACCTTGGTTTACAAACTTTTTTTTTTTCAGTATTTTTGGGAAAATGGATGTGTTTGTGTTTGTGTGGGGAAGGTGGCCACAGTGGTGGTTGTTGCCTGATGTGGGGTTTGAAAACAGGGGCAAAATTTTGCCAAACACTTCCATTTGCAAACCAAATTGTTTGCAAACAGAAGCAGTTGTGAACTGAGGTATTACTGTAGGCTGCTTCCAAGATTTAGCTGTTGTGAGTTGTGTGCCTATATACATACACTGTGTGTGCATACACTCTGATATGATTTCTTTAATTCTTTTGGGAAGATGCCCAGAAAGGAAATGGCTGGGTCAAATGGAACTTCTAGTTTTAGTTTGCTGGGGAATCTCCACACCGATTTCCATAGTGAAATGGTTGCACCAGTTCACATTCCCACCAACAAGGACAAGGGTTCCTTTCTTGGAACGGGGGTTTAAAAGGCAGTTTTCTCTGAGCAGTGTGTTCTCTCTTCCAAACTTGTCTGGTCTGATTTTTTCCCCAAGATCTCACTTACATTATCTTCTTTATAATCAGGAAAGAGAAAGCGAACTGGAATATTCTAAGAGCAGGGAGTTTGTCGCTCCGCGTTGGGACTGCAGCTCCAAATCTGGCTTCTCTCCACAGCTCGTGCACCTGGCCTTTCCTGATCTCGGCACCCGCAGACTGGGGACCAGAGGCAGCGCCAGGTAGTGTCGCAACTTTGTTCTCTTTGCAGTGTTAAAAACAAGGATTTCAGGAACTGCAAACTATAAGTAACAGGTCTTACCAAATAATGCCCATAGCTCCAATTAAACCCTGTGTCCAAAAGCATTCAGGTGACAATAGAATGCAATAGAAAGTCACTGTATACGTATGTTTTTCCCACACTTTAAATGTTTAGACAAGTGAATGTCTATTGAAATATTTGAGTAATTATGCACATGAAGTAATGAATTCTCTTAGTTATTCTTTGAACTAAAGTTTCTTGTTCCTTTGCTGAATTTTTAAATGTTTTCCTGTTATAATTAGTGCCTATCATCACAGAATATTAGGTTTCCTTGTGTGTAATAGATCATGATCATATCCACCTCTGCCCTCCTTCCCTCCTTCCTGCATAGTAATAACCTCCTACTTTCACGGCGTCTGGTTTAGGTCCACATATCCAGGAAAACATGCAATGTCTGTCTTTCTGAGTGGCCTATTTCACTCAACATGGTGATCTCCAGTGCCATCCATTTTCCTGCAAACAACAAAATTTCATTCTTTTTACGGCTGAACAGTACCACATTGTAAAAATATATATATACTGCATTGCGCATTTGTGCACCACGTTCTCTTTGTCTATTCCTCTGTCCATGAACAGGCACTTCTCTTGGCTACGGTGAGTTGTGCTGCCATAAACACCGGTGTGCGGCCTTCCCTAGGAATGACGGCTTTCCTTGCCTCAGGTTTAGACCGAGTGAACTGAGCAGGCGTCCTGCTAGCACATCAGGTTATACGCAGGAGCCCAGGCCCACCTCCAGTTTTCAGAAAGGAAATTCTCCCATGATCAGAGGCATTATTACCGTAATTGTCGAGCAGTTATTACAATCATTTGTCGATGTGTTAAATCGAGGTGGAAACAAGTGAGAAGGCTGGGAAGCCGAGTTAGAGGAGTCATTCCCTCCCCCTCTCCCTCCAGCCACAGAGAAAGAGGAGACAGTGGGGGCTTTACCACACTCAGTACTGTGCAGTGAGGCGCTGGGTTCAGCAGAAGAGAGCGGGGCTCAGGCACTTGGGTCCAAGGAAAGTGAAACTCAGGCACCAAAATGAGACCGCAGTGCGGCTGCAATGGGCTGCTTCCTCCGAACCCGCAGCAGGTGGGAAAGCCATCGGGCGCACTTACCTACTTACGGCCCCAGCTCAGTGACCAGCGCACGGCGAGTATGAGGTGTTTCCCTCCCTGACTAGGCCCTGGGCTCCTCCTGCCACCCAGCATGGAGAGAGCTTTCCCTGGGTGGTGACAGGCATGATCACCACCCAGGGGAAAAGGTCCACATTCAAAATTCACAGTTTGGTTTCCACTGAATGAGGACCACTTTCCCGCCATTATGCAGTTAAACTCCTCACCTGAATGATCACAAGTCCAGGACTGTCTGTGATAGGAACGTGCTTGTCCACCAACCAGAGCTTGTTCAACCCAGAGAACAATTAGCTTTTCTGAATGAATGGAGTCAGTGGTGAAGTCCAGAGATGAACTCGGGGTCTTTATTGGCCACTTGCGCTGTGTGAGGCATCATTTTAAAGCTGGCCTTTATTTCCAGGTATCATTATGATGGAATCTATATAAAGAAGAGTTCTTTCTTCTATTCTCAGTATTGCTGCCTCCCGGGTGAGAAAAGGAGTCCCAGGTGAGTGTCTGCCTAGGGCTCCTTGGCTGTGGGTGGAAACTGTCTGCGTTTCAGTCGTATCCAGCTGGCTTCTAGACTGTTCCCCCATCAGTCCTTCTCAGGATAGGAACACACAGCACATCGACACCCCTCTGACCAGTGCGCCTTTGTCTGTCTCAGGCAATGTTATTGGCTGGGGAAATCCATTTCTTGTTCATTTCCTTGTGTTTTCTTCAATTGGATTATCATCCTAATTGCCAAAGCCATTTTTCACTGCGTCTTTGCCCTTCTCTGCTTTTCTGCATAATTTGACACAATTGGCTGCCTCTTTCTGGAAGCTTCCTTTAGCCCTCGGGACTCTGGGCCACCCATCCCTCACTCTCCCCCCGCCCCAGTGACTTTGCGGTCCGCCTCCCCCACTGAGAGTAGCATTTCCCAAGATCTGCTCTCCCTACTGCTCGGCTCTTTCACCCATCAGCTCCCTCGGACAGGCAGATGGCTCTTAAATGGTTTTCATTGGCCCTCACCCCACCCACTTCCTAGGAACTCAACTCTGGCTGTTTACTGGACGTTCCCATCCACACGACCCACAAGAGCCTCACCCCCAGTATGTGGACATCCAAATTTATCTTCTCCTCCCAAGTTGCCTCACCTCTTGGCTTCCTTATTTCGGTCTATGACACCAAAAGAGAGAACCTATACAGCGTACCCACAACCCCCTCGACTCCCTGGGGTCATAAAAACCTGTTGATTCCTTCTTTCCTGTTCCTTTGGCTCACACTGATGTTTCCTTTAAGCCCTTGTCATCTTAGGCTAAGGTTACAGGTGACCCCACGTACATGAGGGGCCCCAACCATCCAAGCAAACCCAGCTCTGACCCGGTCTCCTTCTTCTGCTTCTCTTCCCGTTCACCACCTGCCTCCCTCCCCAGCAGTGCTGCTGAACTCACGGACTGTCCCCCAGGCCTTCATCAGCATCAGTAGATGACTGAACGTCCAAATCACCAAAGGCACTTCCGTTCCACTTGTAGCCCAGCATAACCATTAATAGTGCCCCCTTTTCTCTGAAAGGTGATCGAGTTGGTCAATAAATTATAGCAGCCTCTGTGGTCACCCTTTGTCTGAGATCTTTTGGGCATGAAGAGCTACTGAGGAGGAGAGATAGAAGTCTCCAGAACGGCCACACATGGACACTTCCCCCTGATGGCTTAGTTGTGGAGCTAAAATGTGCATTTGCTCTGAGGCAGAATGTGACATGACAAGTGTCAGAAATGTACTAAAGTCATCCAAGGGGGAGAGCATGCATTCAAGGTGGGAGATTGTAAAGGGCCCGTGAGTGAGTTGGGCTTTTGGCCTTTGAGGACAGATCAGAGTTCTAAGTAGAGGAGCAGAGAGAGGCAAGAGAACACAGGACATCCAGGCTGATGCAGGAAGGGAAGAAAAGAAGGAAGGTGAACACTTGGACTTCTTCCTGCGTGGAAGTGCGTGGAGGAGCTATGATAGAGCCTGAACCTAGAGGGAAACTCAAAGGTCCAAGACCACCAGGCTGGGGCAGTCTTGTTATAAGCCCTGGAGAAGCTTCCTTTGATAAGCAGGTAGTATCATCATTGAAGCCTCCATAAACACAGAAACCACAGAGCTCTGGTTGTTTTTGTTCTGCTGTGTTTTGTGTTCCTCCAAAATTCACAATGAACCCAATCCCAAGGCAACAGTGGTAAGAGGTGAGGACTTTGTGAGTGATTTGATCACATGGACATTAATGCCATAAGAGACTTCCTAGAGCTGCCTGCCCCTTCCATCTCCTCTGCCATGTGAGCTTGCAGCCTTTGTCCTTCTGCCCTTCCACTTTCTGCCATGGAAGATCCAGAAGCAAGGTGCCACTTAGGAAAAGAGAGCCTTCACCAGGCACCGAATTGGCTAGGGCTGCCATCTTGGACTTCCTGGCCTCCAGAACTGTGAGACATGAATTTCTTTTGTTTACAAATTACTCAGTTGATAGTGCTTTGCTATAGCTGCAGGGACAGATGAAGGGGTATCCCCAGTGAAAGTGATGCTGAAGAACTGGGAACTGGGAATCATGGTTTAAGAACAGATCAGAAGGCAGGGGGCATGGGGCCCGGCTCCTGCCAACCCCCAAAAGAGCACCAGACCAGAAAGGAAGGAGGGTCAGGGAGGCCTCGGGATGGGGGAGCTGGTTCAGTCGGCATCCATGGAAGGGCGCAGAGGTGACTCAGCCACGCCTGTCCCCGCAAAACCTCAGATGCAACCTCAAATCAAGCCGTTGTGTTCTACTTCAAACCACCTCTTCCTCTTCCATCTCTTATTCATAGCTTAGTCACAGAGGAAAAAATTACATTCACAGAAATAGAGAAGTTCAGGCAGGGAGAGGCTACAGTGAGAGCTTCTTTTCAGTTAGGGTCAGATTTCTTGATGCGGAGGAGGCCTTCTTATCCCCCTGCCCACTGCACTCTCCTGAAGGCTCAGCTGAGGTCTGCAGCCTTTGTCTGCTCCAGAGCACCCAGAAGCCACTCAATGAACAGACATCTGGGGAGCCCTGCACACGATCAGGCAGGCACTCTGCAGAGTGTCCCTTAAGGGTCCCAGGGCTCTGCGTTGGTTTTGGATGTCATAGAGATGGGGCTGGAACTGGTCTTCAAGGAGGAACAGGAGGAGGCATTGCCATGTAACCATCGGGGAGCGGGAGCAGGAGTGCTACAGTGGCCAGGAGAAGATGGAGAGTGACTACTGATTGCATATGGCAGACTCCTTGGCCAAAACATGACTAAGCTGGAAATCAGGAACAGCATAACTAAAAAAAAAAAAAAAAAAAAAATTGTCAGTTAAAAATCTCAATTCAAAACTAGGCCCAGTAGTGCACAACTATAATTCCAGCTATTTTGGAGGCTGAGGCAGGAGGATTGCAAGTCTAGCCTGAGGAGCTTAGTGAGAACCTGTTTCAAAATAAGAAACTGAGCTCAGTGGTAGAGCACCTCTGAGTTCAATCCCCAGTACTATGGCACAAAAAATAAATGACACTGATTTATTCATGAGACGCCACCAGCAAGCACCGTTATGTACTCTGTGCGACGAATATTTAGTAATTGGTGAACTTTAAAGTGCTGGATGATGAAGAGATTTTTAAAAGCACAAAGATTTAAGAGTTTCTTACCAACGCCACAGGTCAAGAAATCCTACACGTATATGTTAGACAGCAAAGATACGGAGAAGGGCACATTGTTAAGAATCAGTGAGCTGTATTGGTGACAGTGTGGTCTGTTTTATTAAATAGCTTTTCTGTGAAAACCAGTGTTACAGATTCCTCTTAAAAATTATTAGGTTTCCAAGTGAAAATTTGTCTACTGTCAGGTTCTGGAAGCTGGAACTCGTCCCCTGTTCCCGTCTTTGTCTCCACATTGATCTGGTCCCCACTATAGAGAGCCCTTCCCGGTCCTCGTTGCAGCCCAAGAAGTTTGTATTTGCAATCCCATAAAAAGTTATTGGAATTCTAGTGAGTTAATTCCAATCTACCACTTCCAGTGCAACCCATGGCGAGAATAAAGCCACTAAGGCATATTTGTCTTCTGGGGAGCCAAGAGGTGCTAAGTCCAGCCACAGTGATGGCCACCCAGAACAAAGGCCTCGACACAAGGCTGAACCCAGGTTTTATTCATTCATGACGAAGGGAGTGGCTTGAGGATGAGTGACTGTGAGAACCGTGGGAAGTAGATGAGTGCCGTGAGCTGGGCTAGGCAGAAGGCCTGAAATCACCTCTGCCATGTGCAGAGAGAAGGATCCAGAGAGAGTCATCTGCAGAGCGCATTGGACATAGTATCTAATGTTTTGGGGTCAATGCTTCAGCTCTGATGTGTAATCTTTCAAGCCCCAGGAAGTCATAGCCTCTATTCCCAAAGCTTGATCCCAGCTGACAGCACGGAGCATTGGCTCACACATGCCGCCTCCTCTTGACTCACTTGAGGGAGCAAAGAGGGTTCTGGGGAAACACACCTGCCACCTGCAAAGATTACCATCAGCACCTGGCTAGACCGATATGCATTGCTTAAAGCCAGTTGAAGGGATAAGGAAAAGTCCTAGCCAGCTCTGTACATGTCAGCACATGGAAATAGGGTCAGGCTCGCTCAGCCAAAACAGAAGCACTTGCTCCTCTTTCAAGGAGCTGCCTAGGTGGTCCTCCACACCCACTACAGTAAGCCAGGTGTGCTCCCGCTGCTGTGGTCAGCAGAGCACAGGATAACAGGGCCTCTCCTCTGGTTGAGCTGTCGGCAGCCATAAAGACAAGAAAAAGATGAGATCCGAAGAGCAGAGGAGGGCAGCGAGGGGAGCCCCCCAACAATGTCATTTGAGAATAAAAGTGAATAAAGGACCAGCAAGGGAAAGCTGGAGATGGTGCCTCAGGCAGGCAGGGGAAAGAGCAGATGCAAAGGGCCAGGGGCAGGGATAAGTGCAGACAATAGCAAGGCAGTGGGGGTGGAGCCTGGGAGAGGAGTGAGAGAGTGGGAGGGGAGGACCCCCAAGCAGGCTGTGAGGGAGGGGACAGAGAGACCTGGTGGGAGGTTCTTGCAGCAGCCTGGGCAGAGATAGCCCTTCGGATTTGTTACTGGAATACTCCAATCCTCCGAAGCAGCAGCAGTGTGCAGCATATGCGTGTACGAGAGCAGAGACAGGCTGGGCACACTGTCAATCCAGCGCACTGGGAGGCTGAAGCAGGAGCACCACAAGTTTAAGCCCAGCCTGAAAAACAGCGACTGAGTGAGACCCTAGATTAAAAAAAAGAAAAAAGTTGGGGTAGGGAGCTGCAGATGCAGCTCAGAGTGAAAACTCTGTGCTTATTCCCAGAACTACAGAAAAAAGTAAGGAGGGTGGGTACATGCTGGCTGACTGGCTCCACCACTGGGAAGCTGTGTGGCCTTGGGCAAGTCACTCACCCTCTCTGTCTCAATTTCCTCATCCACTCCACAAACATTATTACAGTATCTAGTGCATGAGGCCATTGTGAGGATTAAA